CTCCATGAAGCTGTGTGCCTGAGGTTCCTGTTTTCCTGCATGTTGATGTCTAGGATGCTTTTTCTGTCCCTGCCCTCTCATTCTGTCACAAAACCTATCCCTTTCTGAGTTTCTGGAATACTCTCCTACTATAAGCACTTCCACCTATAAGAACCTTTTTTCATTATTTTGGAACTACCCAAATAATCCAGGATCATCTATTTAAAAAATTATTTATTTCATGGTGTATCGATGTTTTGCCTGCATGTATGTCTGCATACCACACAAATGCCAGAAAAGAACATCAAATGGTGGATAGTTGTGAGCCATCAATTGGCACTAGGACTTGAACGCGGGTCCTCTGTGTTAGGTTTCAAATCTAAGACTGAGGACTGAGGTGCTTATTTAACATATAAAATGTAGGGCCAGAGGAAATGCTGAAGGAAGACCCCAGACTCAAAAAAAAAAAAAAAAAAAAAAAGCACGTAAAAGCGCTTATTATACCACATGCATGTGGGGTCATTCACCTGTACAAAATGGAGATGAACCCCAAGAGGAATGTTTTAAAGGGCCCAGACCCTCATCCAGCCTCCTGCTTTGGCGGCCATGATAGGCTGCAGAAAAGACCCAGCAAGACTTAGGCCCCTGACTCAGCAACATGTGCTGAGCCCCCAACCTTGTCTGACCTTGCCCTAATCACTAGGAAGACCTCCATGTGGCAAGGAACCAATCAGAAGTTAGCTGGTGGGCTCTGGATGTGCTTTACTAATCAAGTGGAATGCTGGGAGTAGTAACTGCCCTGGGAAGTTCTCAAGGCATAGTAACCTTTCTGGAGTTGCAGCTGACCAAAGAACTCAGGACCAGTTGCCCAAGCCAGGAGGTGCATTAAACCTGAGACAGTTGCTATGCATCTAGCTGATTTTCCCCTCAGACACTCCCCCTGCTGTCCCAAAATCAATATATGCCCTACAGCTGCTGCTGCTGCTGCTCCAGGTCTGCCTGCTTCACCTGCTGTGTGGGACTGACACCAAGTTAACTGTCAGTTAAATTGTAAATTGAAAAGACTCTTTGTTTTTGCCTCGGATCTGGTCTCTTGATGGTTTGGGAGTTTCAGAGCCTGGGCACAACTGTATGGTCTCCTTTTAAGTATAGTTAAGGGAAGGTTTAGGATCAATTAGGATCAATTAGTTTTTCTTTTTTCTTTCTTTTTTTCTTTCTTTTTTTTTTTTTTTTTTTTTTTTTTTTTTTTTTTGAGACAGGGTTTCTCTGTGTAGCTTTGGAACTTGCTCTGTAGACCAGGCTGGCCTCTAACTCACAGAGATCCACCTGCCTCTGCCTCCTGAGTGCTGGGATGAAAGGCATGCTCCGTCAACACCCAGCTCTCCCTCCCCTTTCTAATAAAACTTCTCACTTAAGCCTTAAGCTCTGTCTCCCTGGTGGGTTTGTCCTTCCACCTTGGTCAACCTGGCCATGGTCCCCCACATCACCTCCCAACAGCCAAGACTGTTAGAACTGTTTCACAGAGAAACCTTGCCTGGAAAAAAAAATCAAACAAACAAACAAAAAGAGTATTTGATGAATAACTTCAATCACATCTGCGAAGACTTTTCCAGTAGAGTACCTACTGACAATATGATTACAGGTTTGGGATTTGAGCCACCAAATCTGTGAATCTGTGTGTGTGTGTGTGTGTATGTGTGGTTTAAAGACAAGGGTCCTTACTATTACCTTACTATTAGTTTCTGCTGCAGCAACAGCCTGCCTGCATCTACTACCACCAAAGCAGTTAAGTTAGGTCATCATCTGTCCACAGGCACCTTTCCACCAACAGCTATACAACATGTGCACCCCTTAAAAGTGCCCGTCAGCCACATCTCACTCTCTTTTTTGTCTCTTGCTTGTCTCTCTCCTCTGTCCTTCCTCTTTTTGCTTGCCTGTCTGTCTGTCTGTCTGCCCCCACACCAATGTTGCTTTTCACTCTTCCCCTCCCCCTCCCCTAATAAACCTCTTCCACTGACTCTGTTAGCGGCATGTTTGCTTAGTGGCACACCTTGGCAGGGCCTGCTGACAGGTACCCAGGTACCCACTTCACTTTTTTTTTTTTTAATCATTTAATCATTACACTTACTATGCAGCTCTACCTGACATGGTTCTCACTAGAAATACTGCTGCGTCAGTCAGCCTCCCTGAGTGACGGTGACTGACACAGCAGTGGTAAATGCCCATTAACGGAAAACTTGCAGTGGGGACCTAATGTTGCAAGCTGCTGAAAATATAAGAATTAATCCAGTTGGGCTGGTGGATCATTTGGCTAAGGGACAACCCCTCAGAAAAGTGGGATCACACCTTATCTGACACTAGAGAAATGGTGGGATAATTACACCTTTAATGGCATGCTGTACTTTCCCTTTCCCGAAGTCCCCACAACCACTATGCCTTTCCATTGCGTCTGCCCACCTTGCTGAGATGCAACTTTTGTTCCCTTTTTGGTCTTTTTCTTTCCAACACTGGCTAGGACTAAATATACATTCTCTGATACTTTGGGTTTCCTTATCTTTCCCTAAAACTCCTGTACCTGTCATGAGTCTGTCCACCATGTGGCTGGTTTCCATGCTGGTTTACAATCTGGACTCCTTGCCAAATTAGTTCATTGAGGCCTCATAAGCTTACAGGGTCAAGCTCCATGGTAGCCCAGGATAGTGCTACTGTACCTGTGTGCTACTGTACCAGGCTCTAAGATGGAGGAGACAAGTCACATGACAGAGGTGACGAAGCCCGAAGTTAGGGAAGGCCCAGGTGGCATACCAGTCAAGTAAGAAGGTGAGGGTATAGGGGCTGGAGAGATGGCTCAGAGGTAAAGGGATGCTCTTCCAAAAGTCCTGAGTTCAATTCCCAGCAACCACATAGTGGCTCACAGCCATCTAAAATGAGATCTGGTGCCCTCTGCTGGCCTGCAGGAGTAAATACATGTGAGGGTATACAGAGGGGTCCCTGAAGTTGGAGAGGAATGAGCAAAGAGAAGGCTGTCCAATATGAAGGAGGTGATTCAGTTGGGGGAAGGCAATGTCTCCTTCTTGGGCTTAGAATCTGAACATAGGTAAAGATGCCAGACCATTATGCTTGGTCATTTTGCGATCTGAACCCAGGGTTCCCTGCATGCTAAACCATTTCCTCAGCTCTTTTACTTAGGTTTTGATGAACAGATTCTCACAGCCAAGGTTGCCTTAAACTCCCAATCTTCAAGTTCCTCCCTCTCAAGTGACAGCATTACAGGCATCCATGGCTGTTTGTTTGTTTGTTTTTGAGACAGGGTTTTTCTGGGTAGCTTTCGACCCTGTTCTAGAACTCGTTCTGGTAGACCAGGCTGGCTCCTGAGTGCTTGGATTAAAGGCGTGTGCCACCACCACCCGGCAACATTTAGGTTACTTTTTAGCCAGCATCTTCTCTAACCCAGAATGGGCTCAAACTCTAATATATGGGGATGACTTTGAACTTCTGGCCCTCCTGCCTCAGTCCCAAATGCTTGGATTACAGGTGTGGACCACCACACACGATTTCTGTCAAGTTGAGGATCAGACACAGGGCTTCTAAAATGCTAGGCGCTCTAGCAACTGAGCTACATTCCCAGCACTCGATTTGGGTCCTATTAACCTGGCAATGCTTCACCAGACTTTTAAACACATAAGCAACACAGCTATCCAGCATCAGTCTGGGATGGAGATCAAAAACCCTGCCATCTCCCTCCTGAGGCACCAGCTCTGCTAGACTCCACAGTACTAGGTGCACGGAGACCCAGGGCTCTCTGCAACTCTCCAGTTCTACTCATTGGGACCTGGCTGGCCTTACACGGAGGCTGACTGGTTGCTCCCAAGAATGGAGAGCAAGGAAGGTCAACCCATCACTTGCTAGGGTTGGTTCCCCAGTGCCTCGGACAACATAGGGACCACTTCGGGGGACTTTTTGGATGACTGTTGTTCTCTCTGGCTAGGCAACTGATCCCTGCTGTTTGGTGTCTGCCTAGTTTCTACCCCGTGTCACCTCCTACACCCTATTCTGATCTCTGATCAAGATGGGGCATTGATTCCACAACCATTCATGTAAAAGAGTAGTGAATTCCTGGGGGTCTGGGTGAGGCGAGGTGAGAGCAGGGGATGAGGATGCTTCCCCGAGAAGGAGGGCCCATGTTCCACAAAGCGTCCTCATCTGGGATGGGAACGTGAGACGCTCGGATGTAGGAGAAAAACCAGCGGAGTAGGTCCAGGCCCTCAGCCTTCGGGTTCGAGCGCCCTCTCCTGTCTGGCAGAGAACGCCGAGGGCGTGGCCAGAGGATTGATTGACAGCTCACTCATACCAGCCCGGCGACGACGGAAGCGTGCTCAGGCCCACCGATCCCGGGCACCTCCGCATCCCCCAGCTTCTGCGATCTTGGATCTAACGAGGACCAGACCGGAAGTTGGGCCCAATGACTGCCTAGTCGTAATAGAAACACCGGAAACGTGTTCCCGACTATCGTTCCGGCCTGCGCCGCGGCCATCGGTTCCGTTTCGCGTCCCGGAAGTGCGGCCTTCAAGTTGACAAGCAGGAGACAGCCACTGCAGGCCCTGGTGCCTGGGGAGTCGGAGGTGGGGTCGAGCGGGCATCCCCCTGCCTCAGAGCCAGGAGGAAGGCCGGGGCGTGCCGGGGGAGGGACGCCCGCGTGAGGATCGGTGCACACGTTGCGAACGCGAGAGGGCGCTGCAGGATCGGGGCAGGGCGCGGGCAAGGGTGCGGAGGCGGGAAAGTGGGTGCACTCGCAGTGGGCCTGAAAGGGGCTCTGGCGCAGGGCGGGAGAGAGACAGTTTGCAGGAGCAAGGTGCACAGCGTAGGCGAGGACGAGGCGGCGAGGATGCAGCAGTAGACGTGAGAGTGTGCCTTTGTTCACCCAGGAGTCACCCAGGAAGGTCCTGCTGCATCTGGGGAGTCCGAGCCCTCCGGGAAGTAGGGAGGGGCTGGGTTTGAGGAGGAGCTGGGTTGGCATACGAGTTGAAAAGGAGGCCGCCGGCAGAGGCAGGTGCAAAGCCTTGGTTCGTTTGAAGAATTAATTCATTAACCAGATAAACTAGGTTGGCAGGCTCCCCCTGGCTGTCGCGTGAGGGAAAGGCCCGGAGGTGGGGGTGTGTAGGGGACCTTACAAGGTGACTTCCAGCAGTCCAGGCAAATGGTGACTGACTGGCACAATGCATAAAATAATCTGAGAGAAGGGGGGGAATCGGCCGCGACAAAGGGTAGGACGTCTTTGCGTTAAGGATACAGGAACGTTGAGTCTGAGATCTCCTGTATATGGACAGGATTTAATGGGGCCACACTCGGGAGCCAAGGGCGCAGAGAGGCAGGGTTAGGGTGTATCCTGTGTGTTGATCCTCTCCCCTTAGAGCAGAATTGAATCCAAGTGAAACATCCTTATTATTTGTTACATTAGGAAACAGACCCAGAGACCTGGAATTATCTACATGGTGGGTTACACCTGGCAGATCTCAGCTTCCTAGCTGTGTGTGTGTATGTGTGTGTGTGTGTGTGTGTGTGTGTGTGAGAGAGAGAGAGAGAGAGAGAGAGAGAGAGAGAGAGAGAGAGAGAGAGAATCTTCCCTTTCCCAAGGCCTGGTCACTGCTAGGATGATAGTCTCAGGTTCATAAGAAATATGGGGATTGCTCAACCACACTGGGTTTTGGCTTGCTGGCCATTCACGTCCCTTGTGCAGTTTGGCCTTAGTACCCCCCAGGGCTTACATGATAAAGAAGCAGGGCCTCAGGGCTTTGCTATATGTAATATTTATTTGCTTTCCTTGGGTATGAGGGACTCTGATGAGGTGCTCCTATCTGAGTCGCCAGGAGGGAGGTGCATCCCACCCTTCTGAAAACCTTCACACACACCCTAGTTTTGTTTTGTTTGGGGGTTCTTTTGTTTCCTCTGTAAACCTGGCTGGCCTTGAACTCACAGAGATTGACCTGCCTCTGCCTCCTGAGTGCTGGAATTACAGGCATGTGCCACCACAGCCCGGCTTCTTTTGTTTTAAACAAGGCTACCCTTCTAGAGGAGGAGGTCCGTTCTGTGATTTAATGATATTGAATTTGGGGGCTAGGTAAGGTCCCAGAAGGAGGCTAAGCCTGGATCTTCCTTGGTGCAGGAAACGGGTTATAGGCTGGTGTTTCAGGGGTGGCGGACACTGAATAGTACCTAGTTCAGGAGTGCTGGTGTGTTTTATGTGTTGGTTCAGGGACTGTGATGAGATGCCAACGATGCATGAGATGGGCCCTTGGGTTCTATGATAGGGACTAACGGGACCAGGACATCGGATGGCGGAGTCCTTAGCTGACCCCCATTGTCTCCTCATTTCGCAGATGGCAGCGACCGAGGCCGTGCACCACATCCACTTACAGAACTTCTCTCGCTCACTCCTGGAGACCCTCAACGGGCAGAGGCTAGGCGGTCACTTCTGCGACGTGACTGTGCGCATCCGTGAGGCTTCCCTGCGTGCGCACCGCTGCGTGCTGGCGGCGGGCTCGCCCTTCTTCCAGGATAAGCTGCTGCTTGGCCATTCAGAGATTCGTGTGCCGCCAGTGGTGCCTGCGCAGACGGTGCGCCAGCTGGTGGAGTTCCTGTACAGCGGCTCGCTGGTGGTGGCTCAGGGCGAAGCGCTGCAGGTGCTCACGGCAGCGTCGGTGCTTCGCATCCAAACCGTCATTGATGAGTGCACGCAAATCATCGCGCGTGCCCGTGTCCCCAGCACCCCGGCGCCTGCACCTCTGCCACCACCCGTGCCCCCTCCACTCGCCCCCGCGCAGCTGCGCCACCGTCTGCGCCACTTGCTGGCTGCCCGCCCCCCTGGTCACCCCAGTGCAGCACATAGCCGCAAGCAGCGCCAGCCTGCACGTCTGCAGCTGCCTGCACCCCCAGCACCCATCAAGGCCGAGGGGCCAGATGTGGAGCCAGTGCTGACTGCCGCTCCCGAAGAGAGAGGTGAAGAAGATGATGACGAGGAGACGGATGAAGAGACCGACGCTGAAGAAGGTGAAGGTGGCGGCGGCATGGGTGAAGGCCAGGCGCCCCCTGCCTTCCCTGACTGCGCTGGAGGCTTCCTTACCGCCACAGCTGACAGCGCACGTGAGGACCCGCCTGCATCCACCGGCATCAGCGATTATGGTGGTGCTGGGAGAGATTTCCTTCGGGGCACTGCGGTGACCGAGGATGTGTTCCAAGATAGTTATGTGTCAGCTTGGCATGAGGAAGGCAACGGGGGTCCAGAAGGTTGTCCAGTGGAAACCTCTGCTCCACCGGACTGCGCCCTGGCTGGGCCTCGCCCCGCTGGTGTAAAGACCCCCGGGCCCCCTGTGGCTCTCTTCCCCTTTCACCTGGGTGCCCCGGGTCCGCCAGCACCAACGCCTCCCACTCCATCAGGGCCAGCTCCTGCGCCCCCGCCTCCCTTCTACCCCTCACTCCAGCCGGATGCAGCCCCCAGCGCTCAGCTCGGGGAAACTCCTGCTGCCCCTGCTGCCCCTGCTGCCCCGGCCACAGCCATCTCAGGCACTCCTGTGCGCGCCCCCGGTGCCTCAGGTGCTGAGCAACCAGCTTATGAGTGTAGCCACTGCCGCAAGACTTTCAGTTCTCGGAAAAACTACACCAAGCACATGTTCATCCACTCCGGTGAGTGGAAGGGGAAAGGAAATCGCCTCTACTCACGCAGATTTCCGAGATCCTTAGTCATTGTTTCCTGGGTGGGATTGGGCACTTGAGAGGCTTTCTTTTGTGTTAACCTTAGAAGCCTGAAAATTTAGTTCCCCCGTGTAAAGCGGTGGATTGGAAGGTGGGAGCCTGCCCTTCCAAAGCTTCCCAAGGTCTTGGAAAGCTAGCTTCAGCCTGGGAATAAGGTTAAAGGAAGTGGTGGGAAGCAGAACAGCTTCTGGGGGGTGGGAACTGCAGGAAGAGGCTTGGGATAAAGGAACGTGGGTCTGAGTAGTGAAGGTTGGGTCCCAGGGTCTACCAGTGCCACACGAAGTGTGGGTTGGGAGAGAAGAAACCTTGAAGTCGGAAGAGATCTGAGCGTCTAGTCCAAATGGGCAATGGGTGTTGTTCCAGACAGGCAGGGTTCCTTTTTAAGGGTCCCAGGCAGATAGTGTCATAGTTGGATGCGGGTCTGGGAGAGGAGTTTTCCTTGAAAAGTAAAGGGGTCCTGAACTGACTGAGGAGGAGAGAATAGAGAAGTCTGTACCAAGGTCAGGTTCTAGGGGGAGCAAGCTGGACTAATGTGTGTGTGTGGCCTGCTTTGTCTGCAGGGGAGAAGCCACATCAGTGCGCAGTGTGTTGGCGATCGTTCTCGCTACGCGACTACCTGCTCAAGCATATGGTCACACATACTGGTGTGCGAGCGTTCCAGTGTGCTGTGTGTGCCAAGCGCTTCACGCAGAAGAGCTCACTCAATGTGCACATGCGCACACACCGGCCTGAGCGTGCTCCCTGCCCTGCCTGTGGCAAGGTTTTCTCACATCGTGCATTGTTGGAGCGCCACCTGGCAGCTCACCCTGCACCTTGATCGGGATCCCGCTGTGCACTGTGCGCAGGTGCAGTCAGAGTCTTGGACTGGGTTCACTCCACCAGAAGGCTCATGCTCCGGAATATGGACACTTTCCCTGACCCCACTCTCACGCCACCATTTTCCCTGTGGACTTGGGACCCAGAACCCAATTTCCTCCTATACATGCTTAGCATCTCTGGAAGGGACATGACCGGGTAGAGGATGGTCATGGACCCTGCCACCTCAGAGAACTAGACCATTTCCTGGTTGAGTTGGAACTGTGGGAACCTGATGCAGGATTTTCGCCCCACCCCCTGTCGGGGTATGATGTCTAGGGCTGTCCTCTGCCCCAGCGCTGGGCTAGAATTCTCTGACCTCATCCCCAGCCTGGAGCCACCCTTCTCTCATTGAGCACCTATGGAGGCTCAGCTAGACCTACCATGGGACTTTAGGATTCTGTTCTAATAAAGGACGTTGGGCCAGTGCATGGCTAGCTTTCTGGGCTATGAGATTGGGGCTTGGTCTTGGGTTGTACCTTTGCAGTCCCTGCAGTCCCTGCGATTTCCTGGACAGGTAGACACAATTTGGTTTTATAGTCTGGAATTTTATTTTGGGATTTAGGTGTGTGGGCTGCATTTATAACAGTCGTTCCGTTTTCTTTCATGTTTCCAGACAGGGTTTTTCTGTGTAACAGCTCTGGCTGTCCTGAGACTCACTCTGTAGACCAGGCAGGCTGGCCTCAAACTCATAGAGATTCGCTTGCCTCTGCCTCCCTGAGTGCTGGAATTAAAGGTGTCCGACACCACCGCCTAGCTCATCCAGTTTTCTTGTGTTAACCCTGTGGGGAGGGAAGCCCAGTCCCAGTGCCAATGCTGGCTCTTACATACACGATGCAGAAATCGAGTCCCCTTCCAACCAGACACTGATGGGAGATGTCATTCTGTAAATATGTTTCTCATACTGGTTAATGAATAAAGCACTGTTGGCCAATAGGAAAGCAAGACAGGCGGGACTAGGAGACAAGGAGGATTCGAGGAAGTACTAAGGAGGAGTCAGCATGGAGAGACCAGGGAGAACACAAAGCTTTATCTACTAGCTGTCTTAAGTATTAACCCATTTCTGTTAATCTATGTATTTCCACGTGGTCTCATCTTACAGGAGAGAGAGCCTGTCTGCTTCTGCTCTCTCCATCTTTCATCTTGACTCCTCCTTACTACTTCCTCTTTCCTCCTTGTCTCCTAGTCCCGCCTGTCTTGCTTTCCTATTGGCCAACAGTGCTTTATTCATTAACCAGTATGAGAAACGTATTTACAGAATGACATCTCCCATCAAGAAACCTTTAGTTAGACTCAAAATTCTCCCTCCCCCATTCTGATGGACATGAATGTTGTACCTCTTACTTGTGAGATGCCCTGTAGGGTTCTTTGGGGGCCAGGCCGCTTCAAGGACATTTGAACCCTGGATGTTGGGCTCCAGTACTACAGAACCCAGAGTGAATTGGATGGCTGTGTCAGGTGGATGGGAAAGAAGAATGGCTAGGACCCAGGGTGTGTACTGAATCAAGAAGGTGACCTAGTGGGCTGGAGAGGTGGCTCAGAGGTTAAGAGCACTGAGCTTAATTTCCAGCAGCCACATGGTGGCTCACAACCATCAGTAATGAGTTCTGGTGTGTAGGCATACATGCAGGCAGAACACTGAATACATAATAAACAAATCCTTAAATAAACATCTGCCATCAGCTCAGAGAGAGGCATCACCCGCCCTGTCTCCTTCCCACCTCTGATACACTGGTGCAGTAGGCTCATGGTGGAGTAGAGATGTGTGTTTAAATCCAGGTGTCGTAAGTATTTACTGAGCTGTTACTGTGTACCCAACAGTCAACAAGTTTCCCTTAGTTCAGGGCCAGGACTGGGTCTCATAAAAGGACCTTGAAATAGGCAAGTAGAGATACAGGCTGAGCTGCTTCTTGTTTTCTTTCTCTGTGTAACAGCCATCCTGGAACTCACTCTGTATAACAGGCTGGCCGCGAACTCACAAAGATCCATCTGCCTCTGCTGGGATTAAAGGCATGTACCACTACTATTTGGCTTTTGGTTTTTTTTTTTTTTATTATTTTGTGCATTAGTATTTTTACCACGAGAAGTTTCAGGTCCCCTGAAACTGGATAGAGGCAGTTGTAAGCTTCCATGTGGGTGCTGGGAGTTGAACCTGGGTCCTCAGGAAGAACAGTGTTCTTAACCACTGAGCCATCAATCCGGCTCCTGGCCGTGCTTCTTAACTGTGCTTTTTCACTTGGCTGGAGTTAGGCAGGTTTTATTTCCCCGGTTTCCCATACTTTACAGCCATGAGATGGAGACAAATGTTAGCCTTCGAAAGGAGGCTGGTTGGCCATGACCAAAGGAGGCGGAACAGGCCTGGTGATGGTCCAGTGGGCTGGAACTATAGGACTCCCAGCCAGTAAGAATTATTTAACAAAAGGACAAGGTCCAGGGGATAAGAGAAGTTGTTGATAGTACCTGGTCATAGTTGGGGAGTGGGGTAGGCAGATTCCGTTAAAAGCAGGAAGTTAGACTACACAGTTCTCAGCCACTTCAGAAGAGTCAGCGCCATGGGTGTTTGGTTGAAACTGATCTTCCTACTACTGTTGCTGCTTCTGCTGGTTGGCCTGAGGCAGCCCCCGTGGCCAGCAGCTATGGCCCTGGCCCTGCGTTGGATCCTGGGAGATCCCACATGCTTCGTGATGGTAGGCTTGGCATTTCTGGCCAAACCCTGGATGGGCTCCTGGATGCCCCACTGGCTGAGTATGGTAGCTGTGGCTCTCACATTAGCTCTGTTGCCCCCACAACTACCCCCGGGACTACGATGGCTACACAAGGATGTGGCCTACACAGTCAAGATGCTCTCCTGTGCCTTGAAAATTAGACAACTCTTTAACAAGCAGCCTCCAGAGACCTTTGTGGATGCTTTGGAGCGGCAAGCACGGGCACGGCCTGACCAGTTGGCCTTGGTGTGTACAGGCCCTGGGGCCGGCTCCATCACCAACAGCCAGTTGAATGACAGGGCCTGCCAGGCAGCATGGGCCCTGGAAGCAATGCTGAAGGATGCCAAGAGCCAGAAGGACAGAGACATTGTCGCTCTCTTAGCACTCCCTTCCAAGAACATTCCAGCTTTGACTGTGTTTCTGGGGTTGGCCAAGCTAGGCTGCCCTGTGGCCTGGATCAACCCTCATGGCCGTGGGATGCCCCTGCTACACAGTGTGCTGAGTTCTGAGGCCAGTGTGCTCATTGTGGACCCGGGTGAGTACCGCAGGGGCAGTGAGAAAGGGGGACAGAGGCAAGGGAGGCCAGAAGTTTCTGGAAGCTGGGCAGAGAGCATTTGTTATATCTACTCCTGTTCCATGCAATTAAGGGTCAAAATGTTGGTTACCTGGAAAGTAATTCTAGAGTCATCATTTTAAATATTTTTTCCCTAAATCTTTCAACCCTATTTGATTAGTTTAGGGGGAAGAGGGAGGCTTGAGGCAAGGTTTTCTCTGTGTAGCTTTGGAGCCTGTCCTGGAACTCACTCTGTAGACCAGGCTGGCCTCAAACTCACAGAGATCCACCTGCCTCTGCCTCCTGTGTGCTGGGATTAAAGGTGTGCACCATGATGCCCAGTTTTATTTGACTAAATTTGTATTTCATGAATAATAAGGTTTTTTTTGTGTGTGTGTTTTGAGACAGGGTTTCTCTGTGTAGCCCCGGCTGTATTAGTACTGGATCTGTAGACCAGTCTGGCCTTGAACTCAGAGATCCATCTGCCTGCCTCTGCCTTGCCTCCAAAGTGCTAGCTGGAATTAAAAGTGTTTGCCACCACCACAGCCTGGCATTATAAAGTTCTTTTTGTTTTTCTTTCTTTTTTTTTTAAATATGTAATTTTAAAACATTTACATTATTAACAAGCTTGTTTTACATATCAATCCCAGTTCCCATATCCTCCTGTCCTCCCCTGTTCCCCCCACCAATCCCCTCGTTTTTTTTGTTTTTTTGGTTTTTTTTTTGTTTGTTTGTTTGTTTGTTTTTTGAGACAGCGTTTCTCTGTGTAGCTTTAGAGCCTTTCCGGGAACTCACTTTATAGACCAGGCTGGCCTCAAACTCACAGAGATCCACCTGCCTCTGCCTCCCGAGTGCTGGGATTAAGAGACTGCCACTGCCCCACCAAGTTCTTTATCCAAGAATGGGGAAGCTTTTCTCTGCCACCTGCTTTTCTGTCCCTGGGACTCCCTCTTGCTTTTGAAGGAAGGTAAGAGTTACCTGTTTTCTCCTCTGATGGACCCTGTAGATCTCCAGGAGAACCTGGAAGAAATCCTTCCCAAGCTGTTAGCAGAGAACATCTGCTGCTTCTACCTTGGCCACAGCTCACCCACTCCAGGTGTGCAGTCTCTGGGGGCTGCGCTGGATGCTGCCCCTTGTGACCCGGTGCCTGCCAACCTTCGAGCTAAGATCCATTGGAGAAGTCCTGCCTTATTCATCTATACTTCAGGAACCACTGGTGAGGAGGCCCTGTCCCCACCCTCCACACTCTAACCTTGACCTCGGTCACTTTCTGTTTGTCCTCTGACACTCAGCCTCTGACTTTGACTGTGACCCCAAGTACGGTTGTATTTTGTTTGGATTTAGTATCCCCAGCTCTGGAAACCAGCCAGAGTGAGATGTGGTGCTGCTCACATGTAAATCCCTGCTCTCAAGAGAGATAAGAGGCTGGAGGAGGTAGAGGTCAAGGTCTGCTCTGTTAGGTGGGTTGAATACTAAAATCAAACAACACACAAATTATCATATCCCCTGTGCATGGATGACAGGCAAGTTCACAGAGCATTCCATTCTACATTTTTAAAAAGGAAAAAAAGAAGTTCAAGCTAGGTGTGGCAGTGTCTTTAATCCCAGCACTCAGAAGGCAGGAGGATCTGAGTTTGAGGCCAGCCTAGTCTACAGAACAAGTTCCAGAACAACCAGGGCTACATAGGGAAAGCCTGTCTCAAAAAGACCAAAATAGTAAATAAGTAAATAAATAAATAGGGAGCGAAGGTCCTTTTTGACAGAAAGAAAGGAAGATGGAAAAAAAGAGGAAAAAAGGAAGGAAGGAAGGAAGGAGGGAGGAAGGAAGAAGGAAGGAAGGGTTTAAGGTCAGTATGCATCCAGGCTAGCTTGAGCCACAGACAGAGAGATCTTGTCTCAAAAAACAGAACACGCAAAAACAAGATACCAAGTTTTCATGTTTATTGCTATTTATTTTTGTCTTTTGAGATAGTCTTGCTCTAGCAGCCTTAACTGGCTTTGAACTCCCTATGTAGCTGCCTTACCCTCTTGAGTGCCAAGAATATAGGCTTGCCTGACCTTACCCAGAAAAGTCTTCATACATGGTCCTCTGTGAGAGGTTCAAGGGCAGGCAGGCTGTCGTCTGTGGAGACCCACCCTGCTCTAGTGTTTTCTCTTCCTAACCCTTATTGCTCTCTCACTCTCCAGGACTCCCAAAGCCAGCCATCATCTCACACGAGCGAGCCTTATACATGAGCAAATTAGCATCGTTCTGTGGGGCCACAGCTGATGATGTGGTCTATGTTGTTTTACCTATGTACCATGTGAGTGGCCTTGTCCTCGGAGTCTTGGGCTGCATAGAGCTTGGTAAGTCTTCCAAGCAGCATAGTGTGTTCGTGGGGGAAGAGTCAAAGGGACACAATTCTATACTCTGTACCCTGAGTTTGTTTTCCCCATACCAGATTGGGCCACGTAGCCCAGGCTGGCCTCAAATTTGGTATATAGCTTAAGGTGTCCTTGAATTTCTGGTCTTCCTCTCAAGTGCTGAATTACAGGTATGTATCACCATGTCCAGTTTTAGAGACTTTACTTCCTTTCCTTCCTTGAAAGACATGGTCTTAGACTGGTGGTGGTAGCATATGCATGTAATCCTTGCACTTGGGAGGAAGAGGCAGGTGGTGTTCGAGGCCAACTTGGTCTACAGAGTGAGTTCCAGGATAGCCAGAGCTACATAGTGAAACCCTGTCTTGAACTGCCTCCCCACCAAAAAGACAAATAAATTAACAAAAAAATATTTATGGAAAATGAAAACAGGACAAAAAGAAAATGCCTTCTAGAGACTACTATAGTTTGTTTAGTTTGCAGGATAGGAGATAGACCTTATATATGCTCAGTCCCTCCCTAGTAAATTCGGGGCAAGTGCTCTACCACTGAGCTACACTGATGTGGGAAGTCCTTCTGTATGCTGAAAACATGTGTTGTTTTTATTGGTTGATGAATAAAGCTGTTTTGGCCAATGGACAGGCAGGATTTAGCTAGGTGGTGGGAATTCTGAACAAAGAGGCAGGAAAAAGAAAGACAAAGGACAGACAACATGTAAGCTACCTGGATGCCTGTACGGTGATACACAGATTAATAGTTATGGGTTAATAATTGAGAGAGAGCTAGCCAGTAAGAAGCCTAAGCCATTGGCTAAGCAATTATAAATACATATTAAGTCTCTGAGTGGTTATTTCATTAAGCAGCTGTGGGACCTGGTTGGTGGAGAAAACACAGGTTCAATGGAACCCAGAGTAGCGGGGAAAATCTCCTTTCACAACATATGACCATCCCCTCATTTGGGGCAGGCATGGGCCAAACTCATAACACCTCACTGGTAAATTTTCGGTACATAGGTCATTGTCACAGAGTGTGGCATTATTTTGCATTTGAAATGCTATAAACCAGGTAATCATATAGCTTCTCTCAGCAACATGGAACATGATCATTTCATTTTTTTTTTCTCCTACCAGGAGCCACCTGTGTCCTGGCCCCCAAGTTCTCTGCCTCCCGCTTCTGGGCTGACTGTCGGCAGCACCGTGTAACAGTGATCCAGTATGTGGGTGAGGTTCTGCGATACCTGTGTAATGTTCCCTCGGTAAGGCACCAAAGTGAACTCCCAGGCATGGAACCCTAGATGACTGTCCACATAAAGATTTAGATACAGAGTGAAGACATGACCCAGAAATAGAGTACAGGCTTAGCATGTGTGAGACCCGACGTCAAAGACATCGAAGACCTCTGGGTCTCAAGCAAGGTCACCTCTTGGCTACACGGAGAGTTGAATGTTAGCCTGGGCTATACTGAGATGCTGTCTCAAACACTTTCCACATTTTATTTCTTTCTTTTTTTAAGTGTTTACCTATTCGTCTGCTTATTTATTTATTTAGTAGACAGTGTTCCATCTGCATGCATTCCTACAGACTAGAAGAGGCCACCAAATCTCAACACAGATGGTTGTGAGGCACGATGTCGTTGCTCAGGACCTCTGGAAGAGCAGCTAGTGTTCTTAATCACTGAGCCATCTCTCCAGCCCACTTTCCACATTTTCCAATGTGTGCTTTGATGGTTAGTCACCTGGGCTGGCGTCTCCTAGCTTCCTTTTGCTGTAAAATCCAAAAACAACCTAAGGAAGAAAAGGTTTCTTTAGCTCACAGTTCTACATTATAGCACATCATTGTGGGGAAGTCAAGGCTGCAGGAATTTAAAGCAGCTCCTCCTATCACATCCACAGTCAACAGCCTCAAGTAATGAATTAATGCACGCATGCCAATACGCAATTTGCTGTTTCCCCTTCATTTGGTTCAGCTTATAAAATGACGCCACCCACATTCAGCATGGGTCTTCTTCCAAAGTCACTCCCTCACAGGCATACATGGCACAGGCCAATCTAACCTTCAGTCCTTCACTGAAATGCCTTCCCCACTTGGTTTTAGATTGTGTCAAGATGGCAAATACATCTACTAATGGTAGATACTGGCATGAATAAGAATACTTCCTACCTGAAGGGAGTGCTGTAAACATGAAATGAATTGACTATATAAAGTTCCCGGAACAATGCGACTCCCGGTAAACACACTAGATGCTAGATACTCTTTGTTTTTTGTTTTTGTTTTTGTTTTTGTTTTTTTTCCAAGACAGGGTTTCTCTGTGCCTTTGACTCTCCTGGAACTCGTTCTATAGACCAGGCTGGCCTCAAACTCATAGAGATCCCTTTGCCTCTGCCTACTGAGTACTGGGATTAAAGGTGTGTGCCACCACGCCCAGCACACCTTTAGTCCCAACACTCTGGAAGCAGAGGCAGGAAGATCTCTGTGAGTTCAAGGCCAGCCTGGTCTACAGAGTGAGGACTACAGAGTAGTCCAAAGCTACACAGAGGAACCCTGTCTCGGAAAACAAACAAACAAACAAACAAAAATGCTCTTATTCTTTAGAGCAGTGAGCTGTGGTCCCTAGGAAACCGTCTCTAGGCAATATGACTCACCTCCCAGTCTCTCCCTACTCCTTCAGTTGCAAATCAAAAACCCCATGAAAATCCTTCCTGGTAAACTCCCTTCCTAAGGTTTCAAGTGACTCCCAGGTTTACCTATAGATAAATGTCACCACTCCACAGAGACCCTTGTAGATAATGCCTTCAGGTAGCAATTCTTCTAGATCAATGTCCCTGGAAAAATGACCCCAAATAGTGTCAGATGGTGAGATGCCTGCCGGAGGTACGATTGGAGGTGGTTGATATCTCCAGTTACTCCTAGCTAGGTAACTACAGATGAGGGTACCCCAAGAAACTTCCTATAGGCAAAACTGCCCTATAATGTCTGCGGGGATAATTTATCTGAGATGACAATATAGCCCAGGCTGGCCTGTAATTTGCTATGTGGCTCATTCTCATCTCCAACTAATACTCCTCCAGCTTCAGTTTCCTGAGTGCTAGGATTATAGGTATTCCAGCACCCATGTCTCTAACTCTTCTTAAATACCTCAGATAGAGTCCCTAACCATAGGTCCCGCCACTACCACTTTCCAGGTGATTCCCAATATTAACACTTGAGATACTTTCTTCAGAAAGACTTTGTTCCCAGCCAGACCTTCCAGGGCCCCAACTTCTGACCCTTCTTGGGATGTCCCCTGCAGCAACCAGAAGACAAGAAGCATACAGTCCACTTGGCAATGGGCAATGGACTTCGGGAAGATGTGTGGGAAACCTTCCAGCAACGCTTTGGTCCCATTCAGATCTGGGAATTCTACGGCTCCACAGAAGGCAACATGGGCTTAATGAACTATGTGGGGCGCTGCGGGGCTGTGGGCAAGACCAACTGCTTCCTTCGAGTGAGTGGGCGGGACTCCCAGTGTGATGGTGGTCCTGAGGCTGAGCCCCCAGGACCTTTGCCAATGCCCCCCACCCTCCATCCCAGATGCTGAGTCCCTTTGAGCTTGTCCAGTTTGACATGGAGATGGCAGAGCCTTTGAGGGACAAACAGGGTTTGTGCATCCCTGTGAGGCCAGGTAAGGAGGTCTTTGGATATGTGAGGGATAAGTCACCTCCACCACTTTAGCTGAAACAATCTGCCCAAAGTCCTTTTATTATTTCTTTTCTTCCAATATTTTAGTGTACTATCTCCTGTAGCTTAAGCTGGACTCAGAACTCTTTATTCCTTCTGCCTCTGCTTCCCAAATGCTAGGATTAAAGGAGTGTGCCACCATACCTGGCCCAAAGTCTTAACATGGTGATAGGTAGTAGTGTCTGCAACCCTCACCTTGAACTCAAGCCACTGTCCTGTGTGACTGTCACTTGGGGACCTCTGCCTTACAGGACTTTGGCTTTGCCCAGTTCTCCTGCTTCAGTTTTATTCTGTTCTACCGAACTGATGTGTGTCTATTGGTTCTCTTGAGCTTTCTGTAGAGGTCACAACTGCCTAGATATCTGTCCCTTACCCTGTACCTACTTTGTGTCCTGCGCTTTTGCAAGGACTCTGCATGTCTGTTCTCCAACCCCCATTTGTCAGTCCCTCCCCCTCCCCTCTCCCTGTTTCCGTTTCTTGTGGACACCCTGATGCTGCCCTCCCTCTCTCTCTCTCTCTATTTTCTTTTCTTTTTTAAACAGGGTTTCTCTGTGTAGCTTTGGAGCCTGTCCTAGAACTACCTCTTGTAGACCAGGCTGGCCTCGAACTCACAGAGATAGCCTGTCTCTGCCTCCCCAGTGCTGGGACTAAAGGTGTGCACCACCAACACCCGGCCTGATGCTACCTTCTCTTTTTCAGAACTCTTATTTTCCAAGTTTCTCCTCTGTCCTCCTTTTGGTTTCTCTCACTTTAGGTCAGAGCATTTCCCATTAATATGTTTTTTAAATTATATATATACATAGACATATATATGTATATATATATAATTTATATATATATAGTCTGTATTTATGTGCACCGTGTGTGCGCTTGGTGTCTGAGGAAGGCAGAAGAGGGTGCAGATCCCCTGAAACTAGAGTTGCAGGAGGTGGTTATGAGGCACCATGTGGATGGTGGCAACCTAATCTTAGATCCTCTGGAATGACAGCCAGGGTCCGAACCACTGACTATCTCTCCAGCCTTACCAGTACAATTTCATTCTACCTTTATGTGGATGAAGAATGGGGGACCTCTAACATGGGCTGCCTCATGAGCTGGTGGGGTTCTCACTTAGGGCTTATTTTCCATGTATACCTCCAGGGGAGGCAGGACTCCTATTGACCAAGGTACTGAAGAGCCAACCCTTTCTGGGCTACCGTGGTTCCCAGGAACAGTCCAAGCGGAAACTGGTAACTGATGTGCGGCGCATAGGAGACCTCTACTACAATACTGGCGATGTACTGTCCTTGGACAGTGAAGGCTTCTTGTACTTCCGGGACCGCCTGGGTGATACCTTCCGGTCAGGCATGGGTGGGTTGGGAGATGGGGCTTCTGGGGTGTCCAGCCTCCCTAGGGATGGGTGGGGGCCCTCTCTTCCCAGGTGTAGAGCATCCCTTTCTGGAATGTGTTCTTTATTCCTAGCATGTGGCTTCTCCTTTCTTTCTCTCTCTTTCTCTTTTTTGATTTTTCAAGACAGGGTTTCTCTGTGTTGCTTTGGAGCCTATCCTGGAACTAGCTCTGTAGCTGGCCTCGAACTCACAGAGATCTGCCTTCCTCTGCCTCCCGAGTGCTGGAACTAAAGGCGTGTGCCCCCAACACCCGGCTGTGGCTTCTCTTCTCAGGGGCTGGGTTTCTTGGGGAGGGTAGTGTCCCTTTTAGGGGGTGGATCATTCCTGCCTTGGGTCACGGCCTCCTACCCTGCAGGTGGAAGGGTGAAAATGTGTCCACGAGAGAGGTGGAGGGAGTGTTGTTAAGCTTAGACTTCCTACAGGAAGTCAATGTCTATGGCGTGCCTGTGCCAGGTATGGAGAATTTGCCCGACTTTAAACATCCTGTCCCTTTGCGGGTGGTCGTCATTGCAACTGGGGACACTGTTAGGGTGCGGAGGGGTTGAGAGCTGTGGCTAACTGCACAGCCAGTGAGCAGAGCTGGTACAGGTGAGAGAGACCAGTGTGCTTTCCAGGGTGCGAAGGAAAGGTCGGCATGGCCGCTGTGAAACTGGCTTCTGGACATAGTTTTGATGGGCAGAAGCTGTACCAGCATGTCCATTCCTGGCTCCCTGCTTATGCCACACCTCATTTCATCCGTATCCAGGTAAGGGAGACGTAGCGGGGACGGGAGAATAGATAAGGGCACTGGTGTTACGATGAGAGACTCATGACTACTGCTTTGCAGAACTCCTTGGAGGTCACAAGCACCTTCAAGCTGGTGAAGTTACAACTGGTGCGTGAGGGGTTTGATGTGGGAGTCATTGCTGACCCCTTGTACATACTGGACAACAGGAACCAGACCTTCCAGACTCTAACGCCAGACACGTACAAGGCTGTGTGTGAAGGAAAGTGGAAGCTATGACCTCCTCTCCAACTGAAGGGCTATCCAGAAGTGTGGGAATCGACACTGGCCAGGGTTCTCACTGCCAACGTCACAAAGTTGTCAGGATCCCAGATGCCCGTGGCATCGTATCACGTAGAGAATAAACTTGAATGTGTATGCAGGAGTCTTTGCGTGGGTTTGAAACAGTACATGTATGTAGTTCTTCAGAGCTGCCCCTGCCCTGCCCCATGTGTGCTCCAGGGTTTTGCCAAGGACCACACACACACACACACACACACACACACACACACACACACACACGTGTAGCATCCCTGTCAGACCAAGGGTATGGGAGGACTAGCTTTGAAGTTTGAAGCTACTCCAGAGAAGAGAAGAGAGTGCTGACTGCAACTCTGGGTCTTTGTGTGTAGCCTTGGATGTTGTAAAATGCACTGTGTAGACAAGGCTGGCCTTGAACTCAGACACTTGCCTACTTCTGCCTCCCGAGTGCTGGATGATCTCCTGGTGTACAAAGTGAGTTCCAGGAGAGCCAGGGCTAAGCAGCGAAACCCTGTCTTGAAAAAAAAAAAAAAAGTGATTTATACTTCTACTGTTACCAGGTGTCTTAGGGTTACTATCAGTGTGATGAAACACCATGACCAAAAGCAAAATGGAGAGGAAAGGTTTCCTTTTATTATTTATTTATTTGTGTGTGTGTGTTTACTTATTTTATATAACCAAGTCCATTTAAATGAAAACAAACATTTATACACAATATTTGGGAATTTGGGCGTTGTTCTTTCCAAACTACTTCCTGCTGGTAAGGGGCGCTGTCATGGGGGATTCGAAGAAGATTCAGAAATCCTGGCTGTAGTCTGTCAGGCTGCTTTGTCCAGCTGTTTTGAATGTAGGATCACCTGGTACTCTGTTTCAGGCGGTCTGGCTTGAGCAAACCACATTAGTCTGGAAGGAATCCACAGCTTTTCATTTTCTGTGGAAACAAAAATAGAAATCCTTTTCCCCAGTAACTTGTCCTTGAACTTAAATTTTGGAGTCAAAGCATTTTTTTTTTAAATTTAATTTATTGTTTTACATGTCGATCCCATTTCCCTCTCCCTCCCTCCCCCTTTTATTATTTAGTTAGTTAGTTAGTTTTTTTGAAGCAGGGCTTTCCAGTAGCTATGGAGCCAGTACTGGAATTCAATCTGTAGACCAGGCTCATGCTCACAGGTCCACCTGCCTCTGCCTCCCAAGTGTTAGGATTAAAGGTGTGCACCACCACCACCGCCTGATGGAAAGGGTTTATTTGGTTGAGACAGTGTAGTTGTAAGACCCTCAGAATAAGGAGTCTTCCAGGTTCACTCGATACCCCAAGAACTCAATGTCCAGTCCAGTTGCTGCAAAACACAAGAGGCTTTAATGAACAGGAAACGTTTGCGCAAACGGGCTCCTCCAGCACACAGGCTAGGGAGAAGCCCCCTCCCCCGGGCACAGGTGTTTTTAAAGGCAACCCCACAAGCTTAGAGAGGGGGTGGGACCCTCTGTCCATTGAGTATGTGACCCTTGGAGGCCGGATGGTCTGCTATTAGGGTCAGCAGACCTTAGGGCCTCAGGTGTGCTAATTAATCTTGTCTGGGCAAACCAGAGTTACAGCTATCTCTTGACACTATTTACCACCTGTTGACTCACAGGAAAGGAGGGGCAGTGTGAATTCTTCTTATCTCAGGGCCTTGTGAGAGGAAGCTAGCAAATTCCAAGGAACAGATATTGGTTTCCAGGTTAGTCCATCATTAACATTACTTTTTAGGTCTTTCATAGTCCATCAACAAACGAAGTCAGAACAGGAACTCGAACAGGGCAGGATCCTGGAGGCAGAAGCTGATGCAGAGGCCATGGAGGCACGCTTACACCTCGTGCTTTGCTCAGCTGGTTGTCTTTAAGGACTCAGGACCACCAGTCCAGAGATGGCCCCACCCACAATAGGTTGTGCCCTCCCACATCAATCGATAATTAAGAAAATGCTCTACAAGATTTCCTACAGCTGCATTTTATGGAGGCATCTTCTCAATTGTATCAAATTGATATGCAACTAGCAAGCACATCAGGTGACACACGTCTTTAATCCCAGCACTTGGGAGGCAGGGGCAGGTGGATCTCTGTGAGTTCAAGGCCAGCCTGGTCTACAGAGTGAGTTCCAGGATAACCAAGACTACACAGAGAAACCCTGTCTTGGAAAACAAAAGGAAGCAAAACAAACAAATGAACGAAAACCCACAGACCAGGAACAAAAATACTCTTCTAGCATCTTTGACCTCCAGCCAAGACAGGACCCATGACATTTCTGGCGACGAACAAGATCAGAACAGCTGTTTAGGGGTCTCTGCCCTGAACTGCCTGACCCGTTTCTATTTCCTGTCCTCATCACCATGGCCTCTGGGAAATCTGGCCTGTACTGTCAGGAGGGGAGAGTACTTGTATGAATTGTGGACAGGATGAAATGGGCATCCCAGTGCTCAGAGGTACTGGAACCTGAAATGGCCCTGACAGTGTCTCCAAGAACCACAGGCTAACAGAATGCTGAGACTGCCTGAGATGTTCTCTGGAGGTCAGGACCCAGATGCTGGGGTGGTTCTTTCCTGCCAGCCTGATTTCAAAGCTGCCCTCCGCCCCAAGTAAACACACTGTTGGCTGATGACTAAGGCTTCTCACTGGCTAGCTCTGCCTTAATTATTAACCCATTTCTATTAATTTAAGCATTTCCATGTGGTCTTATCTTAACAGAGAAGAGTCCAGACCTGTTATTCCTTTGGTGGCCTACATGGTGACTGTTTCTGGAGGGCTCTCTCTGCCTACCTTTCCCAGATTCTTGTCTCCTAGTCCTGCCTCTCTGCCTGCCTTATTGGCCAACAGTGTTTTATTCATTAACCAATAAGAGAAACATGTATACAGAAGGACATCCCATCACCAGAAGTGTTTTGAGGTACTCTATGTTAAACTCATGCTGGAGTTGTGGCCCAGCCCGGGGCCAGTTGTTAGTGGGTGAACTCCAGGCCAGCTCTCCCCTAATTCCTGTCCCACCTCCAAGGAAGTGTAAACAGTTTGTGGGTGAATAGCCCTAGCCAGTTAGCTCTTGCGTAGGAACCACAGTTGCTATGAGTTCATGAGGGCAATGACTCCATTGTTTCTAGAAGGGCCTTTTTTTTTTTTTTTTTTTTTTTTTTTTTTAAATACAGGGTTTTTCTGTGTAATAGCCCTGGCTGTCCTGGAACTCACTTTGTAGATCAGGCTGACCTCCTCGAACTCATTGAGATCCACCTGCCTCTGCAGAGGCCACAATCTGCTGGGGTTAGAAGGTCCTTTTTTTTTTTGCCTACATACCAGAAGAGGGCGCCAGATCTCATTATAGATGGTTGTGAGCCACCATGTGGTTGCTGGGAATTGAACTCAAGACCTCTGGAAGAGCAGCCAGTGCTCCTAACCTCTGAGCCATCTCTTCAGTCCTTAAAAGCCTCTTCTTACACAAAACTCCACACCAACCCCTGGCTCTTAACAATCTTTCTGCCCTGTTTGTGCGATGTTCCCTGAGCTATGTTAGGAGGCAGTTGATAGGAAGGACCTGTTTTGGGTTGAGCAACTCCACAATTACTCAGGACCAAGAGCTGCGATAATCTATGGATACAGAGATATGTATTCAGAAGGCAGTTTGATACTATGATCATAGACTATCCAGAGAATCTACTACTATTACTTAAGACATGATATGTCCGTGTCCGTGTCTGTCCGTCCGTTCCCCCCCCCCACTGGCCTTGAACTGTGTAGCCATGGATGACCTTGAATTTCTGATCCTCCTCAGTGTTGAGATTCCAGACATGGGCTATCATTGCCCCATTTATATTGTTATGAGGATTAGACTGACCGTTTCAGGTACTCTACCTGAACTACAGCCCCGTCCCTACAGCTGCTTTAACTCCTAGATCCTTAGCATCTAATCAGGAAACATTGCTTCCTTTCTTGTGACTTAGTTGTCAAATTGTCTTTGCATAGTTTTGTCCTTCTTTCAGTTCACATGTTTTTATTTATTTATTTATTTATTTATTTATTTATTATTTATTTGAGACTACTGTATAGTTCTAGCTGGCCTGAAACTCTAGTTGGCCTGAAATGTGTCAATCAGGCAGGCCTCTGATGGCAGATGTCCTGATGAATAAAGCTGTTTCAGCCAATGGACAGGCAGGATTTAGCCAGGTGGGAAATCCAAATAGGGATAGAGAAAGGTAGTAGGCAGAGTCAGAGGAACAACATGTAGTTGTCGAGGGAACAAGGGGTCCAGACATCACCAGTAAGCCATGATGAATAGAAATGGGTTAAGAAGAGAGAGTTAGCCAATGATAAGCCTGAGCCATAGGCCAAACAGCCTCTGTGTGTTTAATTGGGACTAAATGGCTTCAGGATCAGAAGGGACAGAAACTTCCAAGTACAGGCCTCTAACTCAGATATCCACCACCCTCTATTGCCTGAGCGCTGGGGTTAAAGACACTCACCATCACATTCATTGAGTATCAGCTTGTTTTTTGTTTTTAATTTATTTTTATTTTGTGTGCATTGGTGTTTTGTCTGCATATATGTCTGTTGGAGGGTGCCAGACCTTGGAGTTACAGATAGATATGATCGGCCATGCGGGTAATGGGGATTGAACCCAGGACCTGTGGAAGATCAGCCAGTGCGCCTAACTGCTAAGCTATTTCTCCAGCCCTTGTTTGTTTGTTTAAGATCTTTCATTAGTGTTTGTGGTAAATATTTGCCCCAAGAGATCTTTATGTTTTTTGGACAGTACTTACCGAAGATAACGTTGGGCCTGAATGGTTTTAGCACAGCCTACCTAGTAGACTACAGGTGTGTCCCACGGTGCCTAAATCAGAGACTCCCCTCTTCCCCCAGGTTCATTAAAACAAATGGTTTTCTGTACTTTTGCATTTCCTTCCTTCCTTCCTTTTTTAGTGTTTTTTGTTTCCCCAGACAGTGTTTCTCTGTGTAGCCCTAGCTGTCCTAGAACTCACTCTGTAGATCAGGCTCGTCTTATCCTCACAGAGATCCACCTGCCTCTGCCTCCTGAGTGCTGGACTAAAGACATGCACCACCACCACCTGGCTTATCCTTTGCATTTCTGATAAAGAATC